ACTGTACCTTTTTACTTGTCAACCTTGGGCTTGGCAGCCTCAGCAGCCAGCAGCTGTCTGAGTGAAGAAATGCCTCTAGCTCCAGTGGGCTGGGAGTAGGAGGCAGAGCTGGACCCCAAGGTTGAGGGGCTTTCACCCAGCCCCTAGAGCCTGGCACTTTGAACTTGGACTTAAAGCCTCCGAAGTGTAAGATAATAAATTCCTATTTGTTAAGGCCATCCCATTTGTGGTATATATTCCTGTCAGAGTGGCACTAGGTAATCAGAACAGAATTTGGTACCGAGAGAATGGGGTGTTGCTCTGACGGATACCTAAAATGTGGAAATAGGAGTGGAATGCATCCTTGACCTGAGACCCTGGCAGAGAGACCCTGGCATATGGCATGAGAGATGGCAGGACCAGAGCCCAGGGACCAGCATTAAACAGCAACAGTCTTGCCAGCCTACGGAGGAGAAAGCCGGGTGCCATTGCAAGAGGCTTACTGGTGGAATGGGTTGTCTTCGGCATTAACTTGTGGAAGAGACCAGCATGAGATGGAGTAGTAGGTTGGCCGGCCCATGGAGCAAGAAAGCTGAGTGCTTTTTTTTTCAGGCAGGAAGATTTCTGGTGGAGTGAGTTGTCCTCAGACATTAATTGGCAGAAGTGGAGAGACCAAGGAAACCAAAGCAGAGGTGCCTCAGCCTGAAAGGGTAAGACCATGGCCTTTGGGAGTGGAACCACCACAGCCTCCTAGGTTTCAAAGAGCCAGGTCTTCACCAACTTGGTTCTGGAGTGTGGGGCTGCTTGTTCATGTGGGATGGAGCCACAGCAGCTGCCCAAGAGAGAAGGGGCAGGGCTGCCATGCCCAAGAGGGAGAGGAACGGACCCACCAGGCCAAGGGGGTGAGATTGCCACTTAGAGGAACTAGGGGACTGGAGCCACCCCCTGGAGGAGATCTGTACAGGTGCCACCCTGTGAAGATCTATACAGATGGCAAGTTGACAAGGGGTGGAATTGTTGTAGTTATGTTTGTATGTCAACTTGTCTGGGCCTGGTTGAGTGGCTGGGAAGCTGGTGGTAGTTATTCCCCATGATGAGACTGAGAATCAACTCCATGGCGTAATCTACCACAAGTAACTGAGTAGCTGCCTTTGGGATGTGGTCTGCTTCCTGTATTTAGGCAGAAGCCTTGGGAATGGTCTCTAGTGTATGGTATGCTTGGACCTTGCATGTAGCTGAATCATTGCTTAGCAGCCTGCTATGCTCTGCTGACCTTGGGACTTACAATAGACTTAAGTTAATGGCCTGCCATGTGGTTTGGTAACATTGGGACTGTGCCTTTTTACTTGTCAACTTTGAGCTTGGCAGCCTCAGCAGCCAGCAGCTGTCTGAGTGAAGAAATGCCTCTAGCTCCAGTGGGCTGGGAGCAGGAGGCAGAGCTGGACCCCAAGGTCGAGGGGCTTTCACCCAGCCCCTAGAGCCTGGCTCTTTGAAGTTGGACTTAAAGCCTCCAAACTGTAAGAGAATAAACTTCTGTTTTTTAAGGCTATCCCATTTGTGGTGTATATTCCTGTCAGAGTGGCACTAGGTAACAAGAACCAAAACCAAAACCAAAACCAAACTCACTGCTCTCAAGTTGATTCGACTCATAGCGAGCCCACCTTGGGTTTCTTAGGTTGCATCTCTACGGAAGTGTTTTGCCCAATCTTCTTATGTTATAGGTGAAGAAATTGAGTCAACAGGATCTTAAAGTAGTAGGAAGTGGTGAGGCTGTATTTTGAACCTAACAGTCTGAATCTCAGCTGTCACTTCTAAGTAACTCTAGCTATTGCTAAAGCTTTTCTAGTGTTTCCCTAACTTGGCCTACTATAAGAATAATTTGGAGATGTTCATTAAAATGTACATATTCTCTGATCTCTTCCCTGGAAATTGTCTTTTAGTACTTCTGGCACATGGAGATTCTAATGTTTGGGAAATATGAAGAGATGAGTGCAATGTTTTTCCATTAGGCCTAAACGTTAGATGGCCTTTAGGAGTTTTAAATACTCAGGCTATTTCCAGGTTTTTACCTTCAGGATTCCTGACACTGGGGTCTGGCCATTGGTATTTTTTTCCAAAACTGTCTAAGAGATTCTAATATAGAGTCAGGGTTGAGAACCACTGAATTAAGAGACAAAGGTACATCATGTCCTTCACCAGGCCTCAACATTAACTAATGAAGAGGAGTTTTTTTTTTTTTTTTTTTTTGAGTCAAACAGGCATGTGCTTGAGTATAATGCTTCCTTCTTAATTAGGCACTTACTATCACTTCTCTGCATCTAAATTTTCTTAGTTGTCAAATGGAAATAGCAATATCAGCCTCATAACGATGCTGTGCACTATTATTTGGCAAGTATCTAACATTCCACTTCCCAGACAATGTCTTGGTCCTCTAGTGCTGCTGTGACAGGAGAACCACGAATGGATGGCTTTAATAAATAGAGCTTTATTCTCTTACAGCCTAGGAGGCTGGAAGTCTGAGTTCACAGTGCTGGCTCTAGGGGGTGGGTGAAGGTCCCTCAACTCTGGGCTCCAGCTCTGCCTCCTGTTCCAGGCAGACTAGAGCTGCAGGCTTTTTCTGACTCACACAGCTACTGGCTGCTGAGGCTGATGAACCCAAGATCAACAGGTAAAATTGCATAGTCTGAAGATTCACAGGCAACGTGGCAGGACACTCGTTCAAGTCAGGGAACGATCTCAGGATTGACAGGCAGCATGGAAAGCCACTGAGATGAAGATTGTCAAATGCAGGATCCAGATGTGCCAAAAGCTAGAGACCTTTCTCAAAGTTTCTCTTTATACACTGGAGGCAGGCCACACCCTCAAGGCAACTACTTAGCTGCTCACAGCAGATTCCACCATGGAGGTGATTACCACTTCATCATGGGGAATAACTGCATCCAGCTACCCAGCCACTCAAACTCATGGCACAGCTAAATTGGCACAAAATATTAACTACCACAGTAACTGTTAATGGAAGCTTGTTGTTGTTGTTAGCTGCTGTCAAGTCAACCCCCAAATTGTGACAACAAAACACTGCCCAGTCCTGTGTCATGTGCATGATTGACTATGGGTCAGGCTACAACCCATAAGGTTTTCATGGGCTGGTTTTGAGGATTAGATTGCCAGTCCTTTCTTCGTAGTCCGTATTAGTGTGGAAGGGCCACTGAAACCTGTACAGCTTTATACCAGCACGTAAGTTTCCATAGAGGTGGGTGGTGGCTGTGTGTCAGGCTCATTGGCCAGAGTCAAAATCCAGGTCTCTGGCATGGCAGGCAAGCATTCTACCACTGAACCACCCCTACCCCCACTCAGTGGGGTATTACTGAATTACCTAATATGGTTCTTCTAGCCTTTGTCTTTATGACTCCCCAGTAGAAGACTGGCAGAAATATGTAAATGGGAGGTGCTTTGTGGCCCACTAAGGAGACTGGGTAGCTTGCTACTAATGTAAATAAGGTACACCCTTATTTGCATGGTGGGACCATGTAAACAAAGTGTATGGAACCCTAAAATGAGGATTAGTCAATTTTGCTGTCCTGCTAGGCTTAAAATGAGCTCTCTGAGAGGCAGAAAAGGGGGATCTCACTGTCATCAAGGCAGAGAGAAAAGCAGGAGTGGTGTTCATCCTTGGATCAGAGATCTGTGTATTTGACCTCCTTGGCTGAGAGAGACGGCAGAGAGACAGCAGAGAAATGACAGAGAAATGGTGGCAGTAGATGCAGCAAAACCAAGACTGGCATGAGACAGAGTGGTGGGCTTGTTGGCCCATGGAGTGAGAAAGCTGAGTGCTTTTGAGCAGAATGTTTGCTAGAGGAGTAAGGTTAACCTATCTGCAGATCTCAATGGGTTTGTAACATTTACCTGAGCAGGGCAGAGACTAGGCTGAGAGTCCAAGGGCCAAAGAGAGGCATGCCTGTGAGCATAGCAGAAGGGAAGCTGTCCTGATCCTGGTGTTTCTGAACCTGGATTGTAACCTGTTACTTCCCTAATAAAACCCATACCCATGAGTATTGTTTGTGAGTTCTGTGTGACCATTGCAAGAAATTATCAAACATAGCAGAGAAGTAGAGAGTGCCATAGGAGGGCCCTTTGGTGTCAGAATTGGTAAAAAATATCACAGAGAAGTGGCATGTCTGACCTCACAGGAGTGAGCCTTGGGCTGGTAACACTGATGGTGTTCTGTCTCCCCTTGTGAAGTTAGAGGAGGTCAGAAGATGCTGTGGCCATGCCCTTTTTCAGTAGTTAATTTTTATTTTGTACAAGTTTCTTGAAACCAAAAAAATGCTATAACATCCAGAGAAAAAAAATTTAATTGTGAAATGTCATTACAGATGAGTAAGTGAGAACTTTGGGGATTTACATTAAGGTTTAACCCATTGTTGTCAAGTTGATTCTGACTCATAGTGACCCTATAGGATAGTACAACTGCACCACAGGGTTTCCAAGGTTATAATAGGAAGCAGGCTGGCAGATTTTCTCTTGTGGAACAGCTGGTAGATTTGAACCACAGCCTTTTAGTTAGCAGCTGAGCACTTAACCTCTGTACCACCAGGGCTCCTGGAATTTCCATCACTCACTCACTCACCACTGTCAGTGAGATCTGACTTACAGCAACCCCTCCTTGGGTTTCCAAGGTGGTATCACTACAGAAGTAGATTGCCCAACTTTCCTTCTGAGGAGTGGTTGATGGGTTTGAACCACCAGCCTTCTGATTAGCAGTCAAATGCCTCAGGCACTCTGCCGCCAGAGCTCCTTTTTAGGAATCTTCAAATTATATAGGAGGCGGCCCTAATCTCTGATCATAAATCTGACATCCCCCTCCCCACATCTGCCTGTATAAGGTTGTGAAGAGGAGCATTCTTTTGTGAGTTTCTAGAGCTGGATACAGTGATTCTTCAAATATTAAATATTGTTTACATATGATACATTACATGTACGTTTTCTGAAAAATTTAATGTCTTGTAAGCAACCAAAGGGGGTCGCTATGAGTTGGAAATGACTTGATGGCAGTGAGTTTGGTTTCTTTGGTTTTAAGTAACCAGAGAGAAATAAGGAAGATGAGGCAAAGAAGACCTTATCTACTTGTAACAACTGGACTACAAAAAGGAAACGGGAAGGAGATTTTTCTCTTTTGTCCTACCTTGCTAATATTCTCCTCCTTGGTCAGCATGCCGAGAGTGAGGTTAATATCTCCAAAAATCTCTAAAATGTACAGAAAAAAGAATTAAGCTATGTGCCAAAAAGTAGTAGTCACAGAAGATTTGTTCTCCCTGTCTGGCTGTCTGTCTCTCTCTCCTTTGAATGTTGGCTCTTTGGTGGCAGGGACTATGTCTTATTTATAGTTCATATCCCTGACATACTTGGAACTAGTACTGAGTAAAACATACTTCTTGTTGTTTGGTTGTTATGTGCTGTCGAGTCGGACCCGACTCATAGCGACCCCTCCTTGGGTTTCCGAGGCAGTATCACTTCGAAAGTAGATTGCCCCATCTTCCTTCCGAGGAGTGGCTGGTGGGTTTGAACTGCCAGCCTTCTGGTTAGCAGTGAAGTGCCTTAGGCACTACACTACCAGAGCCCAAAAACATACTTAGTCTTTTTTTTTTTTTTTTTTTAAACTTGAGTTAAATGTGGAAGGGAAAATAAAGTTGTTGGATCTTATTTACTCCTCAGTCAAGTGGGTGTCCTGTATATATGGCTCTAAGAGCCCATAAGCTGAGTTTCTTCGATGCCAGAGTTTAAGGCAATGATGCTACATAGCTGTCTATTTTCAACTCCTTCTCTCTCAGTGGACCCCTGCTCTTCTTTTCCCACATCTTCTTTGCCCTGCCAAGTTCCTTTTCTGGTTCCATGCTCATGGGACCTTGCTTTTTTTTCCCTGGTGATGGCCTAAATGTTTATGCCTTGCACTTTCTAGAAATATTTATATTTGAATAGAGCACTCTGGAAAACTGAAAAAAAAAAAAAAAAGAAAAAGAGTCAAACAAATGAGGAATTTCAGGTCACATGACCAGTTGGTAGGAGAAATGCTTTTGGAGGAGGTGATTTCCCATGAGCCTCTAAATCAAATCCCACATCCCTAAGTACAACGTTTTGGCAAACATTTTACAGGATTTAAAATCAATTGAAAAACTCTTTGTTTGATAGGTAGCCACTGTCTCGACAGGTAGACTACAAATGGTTAAAACAGGCAAATCACAATAATCTCTCAGACTAACTGGACTATCATCAGTCCAGTTCTTCATAGTTAGCATAATTTTATTTTGGATTAAAAGGAGAATAGGTTGAAATAATCTAATTTTAACATATAATTTCATAAAACTCTTAAGGTGCACAGACTTCCTACAGTAACATACACCATCCTCCAGCCTCTACATATAGATATGATCACACAGACATAAAACACACAGCAGAGTCCTAACTCTTCAGGATGCGATGATACTTACCTATGGATTCCTCCATGGCTTGAGTCATGTCTTGGCTGTTTCAGGGTCTCTGGTATAGCACCTAAGTATCACAAAGAGTAAGGCTGGAAAAAAAAAAAAAAAAAAAAGAAATAAAGAAAATCGAAGAAGCAGGTTGACAAGTTTTTCATCTAAGGTTCACAAAAGTTTCTCTAAATGAAAGCCCCTCCTCCACCTGATAGGCACAATGACCTGGGAACTTCCAGTGATGGCTTGCTGTAGAGGAGAGTCACGCTGTAGTCTACCACTATGACATTTTCTTTCTTCTGAGCTCCTGCTGACCAACAAAATGGCTGCATCTCACCGAATATTGTCCCTTTGATGGAGACTAGAGTATCTGAGCAGAAGGAAGAAATTACAGACTGGGCCTCAAATCATTGTTGTAGACCAAAGGAGCTCCTCTCCCTAAATTTAGGTCCATTGATCACAAATTTGGGAATAGTTTTCAGTGGTCACTTTACTGGCTTGGTGTTAGTAGAGCCTTTATGATGATCTTGTTGATTGTTCTACTTGGTGAAAGTCAGTCACAGAAACTGGGCACGCTCAGGGAATGGAATGCCCAGCAGGGGCAGTTGAATGGAACCTCTAACTGACAGTAGCAAAGCACAGTCTTCGCTGCTTCCTCCTCTCCTCTCCTCACTGATTTTTTCTGGTTCTTGGGCTTCACTGAAAACTCAGGCTTTTTTTTTTCTAACTCCATTCTCTCTTGCTGCTTTCAAATCCCTTCTTATCCAGACATTCTTGTTCAAACTTCCAAGCCATAATGCTTTCAACTTTACTAACATGGAGCCAAATTCATGGTCAACGTCACTCTCACTGCAAGCCAACATAACTACAATCTCCAATGTATGTCCAGACTGTATGTTAATGTGGTGATGTTAGAGAGAGAGAGTGAGAGGTGTACCAGCAGCGTCTGGGGCTGGGTGTGCATGGGGCTTGTGACTATTCTCACTTGCTGCTTCTCTAGCCATTTCTCCTCCATCAGTGAAGCTTCTAACTAATGCTTTGAGTTTATCATTCTTTTCAGAGATATTTTTACAGAAATCCTCAGCTGACAGGTGGCAAAGAACATTTTCAGCTTTCCAACTCAGTATCACTATTTCTCAGAATGTGGTCCACAAATACTTTATAACAGAAATTACCTAGTGTCCTTATTTAAAGTGCTAATTTTCAGGTTTCACCTCAGACCTAGTAAGGGGCAGGGATCTGCATTTTTAATGACTACCCCAAGTGAATATTAGGCACACTAACATCTGAGAAACACTGGCCAAGATCTATACCCAATCACGCAGTAGTGGATAATTGAGAATTTAGCAGTTAACTGAAAGGTGTTGATGGGTGTTGGGTAAGAACAGCAGCTACTCTTCTCCATCACCATCTTCACTCACCTACTGGAGGAGGCTGGGGCTATACATAGGTCAGATAAGGGGTAAAAGGCACTTTAAACTCAACATTCTGAGTAAGAAATAAAAACTTTGGAAATTATGTGTTGTTTTCCATCTGGAGAATCTTAACAACATGCAATAGAACCAGCAATAAGAAAATTAGTCATTTAGGAAATGTTGTTAGGTGCCATTGAGTCATCTCCATTCATAGAGACCCTATGTACAACAAAACAAAACCCTGCCTGATCCTGTGCCAGCCTCATGATCCTTGCTATACCTAAGCCCATGGTTGCAACTACTGTGCCAGTCCATTTAATTGAGGGCCTTCCCCTTTTTTGTTGACTCTCCACTTTACTAAGCATGATATCTTGCTCCAGGCAATGGTCCCTCCTGAAAACATGATAAAAGTAGATGAGACAAAGTCTGGCCATTCTCACTTCTGAGGAGAATTCTGGCTGCACTTCTTCCAGAACAGATTTGTTAGTTCTTTTAGCAGTCCATGGTACTCTCAATATTCTTTGCCAGCACCACAACTCAAAAGCATCGACTCTTCTTTGGTCTTCCTCATTCATTGTCTAGCTCTCACATACATATGAGGTGATTGAAAATACCATGGCTTGGATCAGGTGCACCTTAGTATTCAAGGAGATATCTTTGCTCTTCATCGCTTTAAAGAGGTCTTTTGCAGCATATTTGCCCAATGCAATACGTTTTCTGATGTCTTGACTACTGCTTCCATAGGTGTTGATTGTACAACCAAGTAATATGAAGTTTTTGACAACTTCAATCTTTTCTCCATTTATTGTGATGCTGCTTACTGGTCCAGTTGTGAGGATTTTTGTTTTCTTTACAGTGAGGTGTAATCCATACTGCAGACTGTATTCTTCAATCTTCATCAGTAAGTGCTTCAAGTCATACTCACTTTCAGCAAGCAAAGTTGTGTCGTCTATGTATCTCAGGTTATTAATAAGCTTTCCTACAATCCTGATACCATGTTCTTCTTCATATAGTCCAGCTTCTCAGATTATTTGCTCAGCACACAGATTGAATAAATATGTAAAAGCATACAACCCTGACACATTCCCTTCCTTGTTCCAAACCATGCAGTATCCCCTTGTTCTGTTTGAATGACAGCCTCCTGGTCTATGTACAGGTTCTTCATGGGTACAATTAAGTGTTCTGGAATTCCTGTTCTCAGAGTTATCCATAATTTGTTATGATCCACACAATTGAATGCTTTTACATACTCAATAAAACACAAGCAAACATCTTTCTGGTATTCTTTGCTTTTAGCCAAGATCCATCTGATAAATCAATTTCTTACTCTTGTGAATGGCAGCAAATGATATTTCTCAATGTTTGTACACAAAAATTTATTTGATTTCCTAGGTATTAGGGAAGTTTGGAGATGATTGATTTATATTGACTACAATTTATTCAACAGGGCAATCAAAACAACATTTTTGTTTTTTTTCCATCAAATATCTTTTCAGATAAAGCAAATTCATGAATTGGTCTCTCTTTTCATAAAGCAGTATTACAGATAGGTTTTTAAAAAATTGACAGAAAATTTGCTATAATTTGATCCCATCTTTCTGGGGTTACTTATTTTATCTTTCAATTATTTCTTACTTTTTTCGTTACAACATGAGTTTGAAGTCTCTGAAGCCTTGGAGGAACGGTAGACACCAATTCTCAAACCTAACAGGAAGTCATGTCTTAATTAAATGTTGCCTTTTGATATTTGTTTGTGAAGGAGCTTAAATTTAGCCTACTAAAGAACTATAGAGTTTTCCTGTATGTGATAACCATTGCTTTTCAAGATAACTTGTGAAATGACATGACCCAATTCCAAGAGTACTATGGAATGTTGTCTGGCTAGAATATCACTCAGATTGTAGAGACAAAATTTAAGCAATAGGAGAATATGTATACGAAAAGAATATGAAAGAGTAAAAAAAATTAAGTTTATAGGCAAAAAGTTTCATTATAAAGTACAATTCATTTAAACTTTGATATTGATTCTTTTATTGGTCAAATGAAGTATTGTTGTTGTTGTTGTTATATGCCATCGAGTCGGTTAGATTTTATAAAATACATTAAAAACTGATTGCCATTGAGTTGATTTCAACTCATGGTGATTCTACGTGTGTCAGGGTAGAACTGTGTCCTATAGGATTTTCTTTTTTTAAACCTTTTATTGTAATTTGAGTGAAAGTTTACAGAAAAAATTAGTTTTCCATTCCATTCATACACCTTTTGTTTCATAACATTGATTACAATCCCCACAATGTAATAGCACTCATCCCATTTCTTCCCTGTGTTTCCCATTTCCATTTGTCCTTCTCTCCTATCCCTTTCTACCTTCTGAACTTTATCTCTGGGCAAATGCTGCCCTTTTGATCTCATACTGTTGATTGTGATAAGTAGTGGGTACCTCCTTGATGTTATTGTTTACCTGATAGACCTGTGTATTTTTGGGCTACAAAAAGTTGAGTCACAGTGATGAGTTCAGTTCCAGGCTTGAAGGGTGATTAAGGCCATAGTCTCAGGAGTTCCATCAGTATCTGTGAGACCAGTAAGCCTGGTGGTTATTATGATTTTGAATTTTCTTTCACATTTTTCTCCTACCTCCTATTTTGGTCCTTTTTGGAGTTGTTGTTTGTCATTTGTTGTAGCCAGGTACCATCACATGTAGTTCTTCTGACATGGAGGCTGAGAGGTTCTCATGGTCAATTAGTCCTATGGACTAATTGTTTCCATGCATCTTTGATTTTCTTCACTTTTCTTTGCTCTAGATGGAGAGAGTCCAGTAGTTGCACCTTAGATGACTACTCTCAAGCTTTGAAGACCCAAGTTGCTGCCCACAAAAGTAGGATGCAGAATAGTTTATTTGTGGCTGTGTTGTACCACTTCATCAAGATGTCCACTGAGACTATGGCTCTGAACCGCCAGGCCCAGCAACTCATTCCCTCAAGGTGTTTGGTTATGGCAAAGAGGTTTTCATAACATTTCCTTCTGTTACATGCTGTACTATATACATGGAAATATTTGCAGCACATATAAATGCATATATAGAAAGATCCTCTGTCAAATCTCTATATGTTTTTGGGTGTAGTCCCATCCATCTTCCCACATTTGTTCTGCTTGTGTATCCATCTATGTATCTACTCATTGATTATCGTTACTACTGTTATTGCAGGGTTGTGTATATAATAATATTTACCTCTGTTGCCTTTGACTCTGTGTTCCTCCCAGTGTCTCCCTTTGCCTCGATCATTTTGTGCTGACATCCCCCTTATTGTATATTACCTCTCCCTTCACTCAAGTTAATACATGTCTACCCTCTCGTTGGTGATTTTCCCACCCCTGGTAACCATCAAAGAATGTTATTTTCTAAATTAGATGGTGTCTGAGTACCAATGCCAACCAGTGGGAATGGAATCAAAATTGGAGATCCTGGATAGAGTGGGAGAAAAAATGTGAAACAAAATTCAAAAACATAAAAAAGACCAGGATTACTGGTCAAATGGAGACTGGTGAAACCCCTGAGACTATTGGCCCTGTGTCCTTTTCATGCCAGGAATTGGACTCACTCCCATGGCTCAACTCTCAGCCAAACAGT